TCAGTTGAAAACAAATCATTATGGAAGGAAAATTCCTAAATCTAAGTACCTGCACATTTAAATAATAAAAGATATATATTGAATGTGTCAAAATAATAATTTACAATAAATCCTTGCAATATTTTTATGTTTCCTTATAATTTCCTTACATTAAGAACATTATATTTTATACAATTTTAAGAATACCTATGAATGGGGATCTGACCCCCCCACATCCCCCCTTATATACGCCCCTGCTGTTACGCGTTACGCGCTATTGTCGCGTTGCGTTCCATCGGTTGCCAAACAGTGTACCTGCACGGAGGGCTTGCCACTTTGCCCGTCGTTCTCTGCAGTGATTACGGATTTTTTTTCTTCGTTTTGTTCTTTCGTCAATCGTTTAACCACGGGCGTGTGGACCCGGCTTTAGGATTAGATGCTAGCGATTTACCCGTGGCGGCGCTGAACAGTCTGGTGGTTCGGTCCATCGACGACGTGGCCACCACTTGCCGGGGCGCGCAGACGTCCACCGCGACCACTTCGGCCGAATGTCCGCTCATGGTGCACAAGCACTCGCCGCCGCCGTCCAGCGACCATATCCGCGCGGTCTTGTCGAATGATCCGGTCAACGCTCTACGGAACCTCGTGTTCAGAACCTGCTTCACGTTAACGTCGCGCGCGCGATCCCTAGCCCTTCCGCGACTAAACCACACACATCTGTGTAGGCAGCGGCGGATTGGCCCACCGGGATACCGGGAAAGTTCCCGGTGGCCCGGTAATCGTATTATAACACTGGGCCGATGTACTTGGATTAAAAATTATTTTATAAAAATAATTTATTTAAGTACATTGTATTTAACTGTAAGATTGTGATAAAAACCTAGTGTAAACGTGATGTAAACAGTTCTACGAGCATTTAATCCATGAATAAAGGAGACTTTTATGGAAAATTATTATTATTGATTGGTGGGCCGGTCATACGGTAATTTCCCGGGCTGAAATTGTTAACCAATCGGCAGCTGTGTGTAGGTCTACTTAAGACCCGTGCTCGAATTGGTGGTATTACAGAATGGAGGGACTTGATTTGTTTTAATAAAAGGGCATCCCCAAAATTCGTTAAGCGTTACGATTATACCGTAATAATAACAGAAGGAAGACGCTAAAATTTCTGAAAATTAGTTGAGGTACTCCATCCCCTTCGTATCCCCTCAAGTCGAGCACCGCTTAAAACCTAATAAAAAATCGTATAAAGTCAGTTTTAGAACTAACACACGCAAATGTGTAGGTTTTCTGTAACCCCGGATTATTTTTTTAATTTCACAATAATACGAATCCAATAATAATAATCCTGAATAAATCATTATTTTTTAGAAATATTGAATTTCGCTTTTCTCTTTTGTTACAGATCAGGAGCAACCTTCACAACGTGCCGTCCAAATTATTTTTGTCCACATAAATTTATAAAACCAACCACACATTTGCGTAGGATTGTCGTTACATAATATCAAAATAAATTCATCATTCAGGACTGTAGGTAATACTAGATTAACCAACACTATTGAGTAGTTGTTAAGTACACTAAAATAAAAATTGACTCTCGTCGTGGTAGGGCTAGCACGTCCACGGCAGAGAAGGTGCGACGGGTGTTTATTTTCATTTAAGTTTTGTTTTCTTCGTTAATCTATATGAAAAAAACCTACACTCGCAATAAGTACGCGAGGGAAAGGCGTTACCATAAAGCTATGGAAAAATCTGGAGCCACAAAGGGATTTTAACAAAACGTTTTCGTTCAATTTTTACCCAACCCGGTGTGGAAACGTGTTTCGTTTTTTTTTTAAAAAAAAGTAGGTCGAGTTTGTGCTTTGTTTCCGTGCCTTCTCCGTGTGCACCTGGCGTAATATTCCCAAAAGAAAATATTTTGAAAAACTTTTGATAATGTTATAATGACTCGTATGGGTTTCGATATACAACTGTGCGGGTCAAAAACGTACAAAACAAAATGTAGACCGGAGTGGAAGAGGACAACAGCCTAATACGTAGTTGCAATAATCGACCTCTTTTAAGTCGTCCTTTTATTTTTTTTTCCATAACGAATTTCACACACCGTTTCAACCTAGCACTCCCTCCCACCCCTCACCGCCAAGTAACGCCACTTCTGTGCTTTTCGCAGCCGCGGACACCACGTGACAATAGAACCATTACGAGTCACTTATTTTTACGAAACCGAGATATCAGTAAAAACGTATACCGGTGGTGTACTACTGTAAAATTGTAAGCAAACGCGAATCGCACGCGCGACCGCCGACAGCTGACGAGTACGCGCTAAAGAGAGGACACTGACCCTGGCACTACAAAGTAAAAATGTTGGTGTCAAAATGGTTTCACAAATTAGTAATCAATTCGCGATAGAATTATCGAATGTAACCACAAATTTGGAATTTGTATCTTAAGTAAAACCGCCCAAAATCAATTTTCTATTTGCGGGTGCCAGTGTCAGTTGACTCTAGCACCCGAGACTCGAAAAACGTTGTACAGTGTCCGAAACGGTTTTGGGCGGTCATACTTGTGTGACAATTTCAAAATTTGTGTTTACGAATTATTACGAATTGGTTATTAATTTGTGAAATCATTTTAACACCAACATTTTTACTTGGTGGTGCCAGTGTCAGTGATCTGCTAAAGATACTTGCCTTCCCGTGACAGCCAACGACACCGAGTACACCGCGTTCTCGTGTCCGGCGAGCGTCAGGTTCTCCGCTCCCGTCCTGGCGTTCCAAATCCTGCACGTCCGATCGTAGCTTCCGGTGGCACATCTGTAGCAGTAATAACGATAACGTTACGTACGGCGTGAATCGGTTGGCGGGCGCACGCGAAAGCCGTTACGGACTACGGGGTTTTGCGTGGGATTCATTCGTTTTTTTTTTTTTTTATATTAATTTCTAACGCGAACCGATTAGAAAACATCCGTGTAATGACATTACGGCACCTTTCCCCGGCGTCCGTTTTGGACACCCGTATTCAAAAGTGTTCGATGTTTATAAATCCGATTCACTTGCGAGACACACGTAAGAAATACGTGTTTTGATTGTCTACAAACCGTGTACAATAAGTACCGATACTACCAACCGACTACAGGCCTATATCAATCATCTTTTTCTCCTTCGCTTTATTCCCAACTATTTAGGGTCGGCCTCCCTTGTCCTAAACCTTCATTCGTCTCGATTTTCTACACTCCCTACGCGCACAACAATATCATTCTCATCATATCATTCTCGATCGCATCCAACCATCTCTTTTTTGGTCATTCTCTTTCTCTTTTCTCTTCGACGTTTATTTTCATAACAACTCTTACTGCATTTATTTTTTCTCGTCTCATCCAGTGCTGGATTAAGGGCCAATACCGCCCTGGAGCAAACAGTGTTGCCCTCTCCACCTCAAAAAAATAAGGTTAAGTGAAACCAAAAAAAAATCCTGGTTTTTATGTATTAATTAAAAAAATAAAATACTATTATAAAATATAAGTTAAATATAATAATTAATCTACATAAACCCAGGATTCATTTAACGGGGGTGTTTTAAAATTGAATAGACTTATGATAAGTGGGGGCTCTCCCCTTCCTGTATTACATTAATGAATACCATGTATTTATATAAATTATTATATAAATGAAAACGATTATATTAAGACTGTATAAGTAAAATCTACAAGTTGTATACAACGTTTCTTCAAATTACGCTGTAAGTAATTAGGGGGTGGGTGTTCTAACACCCATATCACTCCTCTAAATAAGCCCCTGACTTAAACTAAAAAGTATAATTAGGTATATGATTAATGTCACAGAATAGTTTTGCAAAGAATTTTTTTAAACAGAAAATATTGACAAAATACAATTATAATATTTAATAGTTACAAGTTTTTATGTTTTTCATATTAGTTCTTCTCACTTCATTTCCTCAATCAAATCAGATTCTGTGCATAAAATTGATAAGTTGGACATTTTTTCTTGTATTAATGACGATCTTAAATAATTTTTATGAGGCTATTTTATTTATGCCGCCCCACTAAATTTGCCGCCCCGGAGCAAATGCTCCTTTTGCACCTAGGTTAATCCAGCCCTGGTCTCATCACATGCCCAAACCATCTCGATCTATTTTCTCTCTTCTTGTCCTTTATAGACGCTAAACCTATATTACCTTTCACGTATTCATTCCTTTTTCTATTTTCTTTTGTCACTCCATTCGTCCATCTAAGCATTCTCATTTCCGCAACACTAATATTCTGTTCTATTCTTATCATAGGCCTATATTAATAATAAACAATATTTTGGTTTTCTAAGAAGTAACTATATTATATGTACGCATACCGCTTGAGTACAAATCAACCGTACATGACACTTATATAAAGCGTTTTAGAAAGATTTAAAAAAATAAAGGAATATTGATTCCCGGAAAACAATTACAAACATGTCACCTTTGATTATTGTATGATCAATAGATTTGTCAAAAAAGAATACGTAGACCTCGTGTAGGTACGTATATTATAATGCAATAATGTGTATTCGTAATTCAATCGACAAACTTTTCGCGTCTCGTCAAAATGTGTGGAAAGTGGAACACGATTACTTATAAAAAACTTCTTTATAATCGCGGAGTGGAAAACGTTACCCACGTTTCGACCAAAGGTTTAGAAACAAAAATCACATGTGAAACGTTTCTGAAAAAAATGTTAGCGAACTAAAAAGCCAACATAGTAATTCGTACACTACTAAAAAAGTGTCTCAGCCTAGTCAATCTGGGAGTGTTAAAATACGCACTTTATAGAACATGGATAATACAATTGTGTCGTAGAATAATATTAAGTGTAGTCATGTAATATAATTATATGTAATATAATGATTATACTTCTTTTTCCCTAGATGAGGAGGAGGATCTAGTTACTAATATACTGCAGACAGGGGCATATTATAGGGGGGAAAGAGCGATCGTCCCCCCTGAATCCGTTTTTAAGGAATCGATCATATGTGAGATATACATTTAAAATTATTTTAATGTGGATCATTTTATAACAATACTTCGTGTCTGTACTCACTGAAAAATCAAATATAACATAAGCGTAACTTTCAAAACACAGACAGGTGTTAAAAAAGAACTACACAAAAGTAGATTCTAAGTGGATCCGCCATTAGTTTAAAAAAAAAATCACAAATATTAATATTATTACCTATATTATTAATATTTACTTGTAAATGTTGAGACTGAATTAAAGTAAACATGTAAGTCACACGTATGGAGAAAGTCTAAATACGCCCCTGACTGCAGAAGAACAAAATTTACACATTGTAATTGTTATAACTATAAAATAGATAAAAGAAGAATACAATTTTACCAGTGGTGTGCGCAGATATATCCCCCCATGGGCTTTTTTTTTTTAGTCTTATGTTTAAAAACGTATTTACGAAAGACAAAGAAGCAGCCACGGTTAAATGAATTGAATTTAGTGTAAAAGCCAGAAGGATGAATTTCCGCCTTCATTGAATTTGAAAATAATACATTTTTATGTAAAGGCATCCCCCCCCCCATACCAAATTCCTGCGCACGTCACTGAGTCTTACTTCTGGCTAAAAAAAAAAAAAAAATTCAAACATGTGATATTATAGTTGAGAAATAGGAGAAATACTCATGGAAAAAAAGGGAGCTCGTTGTTGGGTTAGAATCCATCTCCATATCCTCCCCCGTAAACACGCTACTGGCACACGATTCCGCAGCAAGTTTTGTACAAAACAAAAATGTTATTTGTACCCAAAACCACTTAACACGGATTAACACGAAATTGAATGCTCCGTTACCGATCATCGAGTTTTCGGTAGAAAAGAGTTTGTTGTACCGCAAGCGTTAGCGAGTAGGTGTAGGCTCGTCAAAAATTTAGGGACAACGTAAATGACCTCCTTGCAGAGGAATCGTTTTTTTACGGTACGATTGCAGTGGCTTGGTCGCAGTTCGTTTCATTTTGGGATTCTCACATGTCTCCGTACTTGTCGGCGCACACGTTCGTTATCGGCAGCGAATGGCCACCGCTCAGGGTCCGGTCGAGGCGGAACGATGGCGATCCGGTCACATCGTGTCGGTCCCCGCAGTGGTCGGACGATGACTTGTTTCTGAGCTTACGCAACAGCGCTACCAGTTGAGGCTGTACCCCGGGGGTGATTAACGGCTCGTCGACCGCGATCCGAGCGGCTAGTGCCTCCACGTCCGTCCTGCAATTTACCATTTGACGTGTCAATATTACGGTTATATCGAAATCGTCGCGGCTAATGTAACAAAATATTAATTCGTAACACCAGGAAAAACGTGGAAACCTTTTCGCACATTTTACCGATTCGGTAGGTAGGTCGTAGACATCGTTATCCAAGGACGTACGTATACCTACAACTACATGTATAGTTGTTTCGATTTTTACATCGATCCACCCGTGACGTTAAACCGTTTTCGAAAGATTTATCGTTTTATGAAGTTTAACACCAGCTACAGGTATAAAATATTATACAGGCGAATATCTATTTATCTACTGTAAAGTTTTTAATTACTAAATTATTTATACATTTATGGTTCGCTTAAATGCATGAAAATTCAATGAAAATGTACGATTAAAACATTAGGTGGGTACGGTTTAGGAATACCAATTTAGTAAGTTGTACTTAGTCTGCACTTCAGAACTTTGAGACATTATATTATACAGGACTAGTAGGAGTATTTAAATTATAACTTGTCAGGCACGTAGCTAAGGGGTGGCTTGGAGTGACCCGGCCACCCAACATATTCACAGATCACTCCGTTGGCGACCCCACTATATTGTTAAAATACCCAAGGCTTAAATAATTGAATTAATGTATAAAAGGTTCAACCGTAATTTAATACTTCTATTGATATAAATATTTATGCTTCAACTTAATATTTTGTTATTAACTATTACGTAATTATTTTTAACGCTTTGTTCTATGTAAACATGACGAATACGAATACTAAAAAAACAAGTTGTATTTATTATATTTATTATCACATCGAACGCAATTCAAACAATGGTCAAAATATAAATTCTCATCGTTGGTACTCTTCATATTCGTCGTGTTTACGTAGAATATGTCAACGTAGGCCATTTCGGCATTTCCCATCATTGCTTGTTGTATGTATCTATTGATAATCTATAAATATGTTTTCTTGCCAAAAACATACATGAGAAACAAAATGACAGATAAACGTCTATCGAATTTAGCTATGATGAGCATTGAAAAAGAATTGGTAAAATCATTGGACTTGAATGAAATGATAGATAAATTTGCATTCAACCATAAAAATAGAAAAATTATTTTAGTATAACTTAGTTTTAAGTTTGTATTAATTCTAAAATAAATTTGTTATATATAAGATTTATATATTATAATGGTGAAATTTATTTCGTATACATTTTTAGTCTTATTACCTTTTGTTCCTATAATGTACTAAAAAAACTTAGGAATTAAATCTCAAAAAAAAATGTATAATATATTTTTATACTTATTATCATATTATTTTTAGGGGATATTATGGAGGGGAGGGTAGTAAAAGTTGACCACAACAAAAATACTAGCCACTCAAGAAAAATGTTAGCGATAATAAGGCCACCCCAGTTGTATAATCCTAGCCACGTGCCTGTAACTTGTAAGTCCGAAGTGACATTATGCTATAATAGGAGAAAAAAACAACCCCCCCCCCAGAAAAAAATTGTATCTACGCCACTGCTACTGATTAAATACATGCACATTTAATCAATGGTATAACATATTTAACAATACTTTATAATCGGGTATTCATGTCTTGGTAAGCATTTAAATTTAATGTTAGACTATTGTAATATAAAATTTAAATTGGAAAATAAGTACCTAGTACTTACCATAAAACTAATAAATTACGAGTCACAGTCACTTATTTGTTATAAGTAGGCGCGGATACAAAGGGGGATATGTAGGCTAAAGCCCCCCCTCCTTCCTTGGGCCCTAGGTACTTACAAGATTTCAATACTATACTTACCTATAACTTATACAGACATATAATACATTACTTATTGACATTTAGGATTGATAATCATGATCATTTATATAACCTTCAATAGTTCTAATCTTGAAAGATAAAAACAGAGAATTGATAAAATTAATTTGCTAATAAACTGTGATCTTTTATTCAACTTACTAAATATTTTGTTCCCTTGCCTATGTTATTATGTAACGTAAGCAATAAAAGACAATTTTATTATTAAAGTTTTTTATTATTATTTTATGTACTTGAAGTAAATTTTTTTTTCGTTTTCTTTGTGAGATATATGATAGCTTAATGAACCCACACTTAATAAATGTTAGCATTTGTTTATATTAATTATTTTATTTTGGGAAAAGTATACCTACCATTTTATGAACAAATATTCAACAAAAAATAAATGATAAAATAAAATTTCAAATATTTCCTTTTGGTTGTGTAATTAAAATTATTTTAATACTTTATGCTATACAGATACTAAGAATATTGTAGATTTTAACCAAATTACATTATTTTTATTTAGTGTAACATGAATTTCAAACTTACTCTTTTTCGATGTCAAACAAATCCAAAATCTTTTGCTTTGTTCTTCTTTGCTTCTGATATTCAAAAACAATACCTGTATCAATAACCACAGCTTATAAACAATTGAAGGTGCAAACTGTATTTATATAAATAACCAATTACCTGGAGGATAATATCTAATATAAAATTTATTTAATTTCATATAAAAATTTTAAATAATAATAATGTATAACTTGATTTGTAAACCATTAAGGGTAAGTGCTATATCCAATTTTTCCAATGTTGTCATGGTAACATGATGTTAGATCTAAATACCATTGGTTCAACTGTTCAGGACTTGGTTAACTCTTGTGAACTATAGTTTTGTTAATTACTAGTATTATGGTTATAATTTCCATTAACATTATTTAAATAACAAGAAAAATAACAAATTTGCATTAAAACTTATTGAATAAAACACCGATAAAATTATAACACATGCACCATTAAATATATTCAAATTATTCAAAACAAAAATAAAATTTTATAAATACACGAATAACATTGATGTAGATCTATAAGTGCAATTAAATGTCAACAGAAGATTTTTTTTAATAAAAATTGAGTTAAAGATTCACTTAAAACGGTTTATTGATCAACTGATGCATATTTTTATTTGCTCGGATACGAAAAAAATTTGATCTATTCAATGGAGGGACAAATTAATTTTTATAACATTTGAACAAAACTTAATACTACTTATTTATAATATACTTTTTTTTTTTAATTTTACTTCAGTTTTTGCCATTAAAATTAACTGATTTATAAACTAAATGCATTTTAATTAATTGTAGAACATCATTTGATTGATCAATAAAGAATTTTACAAGATCAAAATGATAAACATACCATTACTGATTGTAAAAATTAGACTAAATAATTTATAAAATTTTCACAACATTAAAAAAGCTCATAATGTATCACACATAACAATAGTAATTTGCAATAACATTTAAAATAAAAATAAATGGTACATATGTAAATAGGAAGAAATTATTGAACATAATAAAAAACAATTTTCCACAAGTGATGATGTATCACAAATATTGCCAACATTATTATAATTCAAAAAAATAAAATATTGAAAAATCAATACATATTGATTAAAACTATTTAACATTCTTGGCAATCTTAGCATTTTTTTTTGCTTCATTTTTCAATGTTTTCTTAATGTTTTGATCAGCTTCTGTTAATTCATTGAACTTTCGGTTGGCTAAAAAATATTAAATTAGATTAAGTAAAATTCAAAGTATCATAATTTGTAAACTCATACCAGCATTTTTGCGTTTCTTGTTGGGATTATCACTATGTGCTGTTTTGGCTTTGGGTTTCAGCAATCCTAATGAGGCTGTTATATTAAAACTATAGGATTTTTGTTCATTAAGAAACTCATAAATAATCCAAACTTGAGTAGCCAATGCACTGATTGAACATATTAATTTGAAAATCGGTGTGTTGAAGTCACGTAATTCTCCACTGTACTCAACTCCTTGAAGACCAAACCACAGCATTGTTTGTGACAGGATCAAAGTCAACAATTGGACAGCAAAGAAGAATAAGTTGTATACATTTTGGGCAACTAAAAATATTGTAATAAATTAAATTTAAAATAATGAATTATTACCAAGATCACTTACATTGAACTTTTTTACTATCTTCTTCCTTTTCGGTAATGTCAATTAGTTTTACGGCATGGTTGACGAATTCAGAAATGTAATGTAACAACAGTACAACAACACCAATACGTTGGAAACTATAATGTAAATAAAATTTGATAAATTTATTACAATTAAATATGAAAATATATATAAATATATAAAATATTGAATTTAATATGCATTTTAATTACTTAGTTATATATATAGATGAAATGAATGCTAAATATAACACAGAATATTTCACTCTACTAAACATATCCTCTTTTTTAATTTTTTGGAAGTATAATTCTGGTATAATATGAGCCCAGTAAGCAAATTGAATGATGTAAAAGAATTTTGTCGAAAAAGACAAAGTATCATATGGGTATCCTGTCCATAATGATGAGAGATCCGCTAACCAATTTTCTCTGAAAAAGTAATAAAAAAATAATTACTCTATAATTTAAAAAAAAAACATTAAATTTAAATTTACATAATACTGTTTATAAAATTCTTACTTTATGACAATATCTAAAGCCCAAATCATAGAAACTGCATTGAACACTATTAACTGTCCAGATTCATTGAATTTTGAGTTCTTCGACTTTGATAAATGCAGCTTACGACATATTTTCTAGATATAAAAATTAGTGAAATTTTAAAAATTACTTACTAACTAAAATAATTTATAATAAAAAATAAAAAAAATGACATTTGATAATAGTAGATATAAGTAATGGTTTTATATTTACACCAAGTTTATGAATTAAGTATATTCTAGTATTTCTTCATACTTGTTGTTAATATATATGCATCTCAACACAAATAATCCAAATATTCATTTTTAATAATATTATGTTTAACAAAATTGTTTATCAATACAAATAAGTGATATTATTAAGACAATATAAAATAATTATAAGTTTGATCGAGATATAATATTTAAATACATACATAAATGTATAGGTAGTTGAAAATCCTTTAATTGTTTATTTTACTCGGATTACAAAACTAGACACCTATAAGTATATTAAAATGTATGTGAACATCTTAATGTATTGGAAAACACAAAAATTATTGAATCAGAAAATGAATAAGTTAGGTTTTTGCACAAATATTTTTAAATTAAATTTGGCGACTACGTAGTTGTGTTAAAAAAAAATAACTTATTAGATAACTACTTACATCTAAAATGTATTCTTGAATGATGGCATGAAATATGATGCAGATGAGGAAATAGAAGAAGATGGCGAACAAATCCTTCAGACCGGTACCATATGTTTGCAAAACGTTGGGTTCGGTGGCTTGGCCGTATTGGAGCGCGACAAATAGTGACGACACCGGCGAGGTCAACTGCGAAAGGCAACGGACACACATTATCAACAAGACGCGAAACGCATCGCGCGGACGTGGCCGCAACATCACACTCACTCACCTGGACCATGAGACCGATGACGATGACCATGGCCACGCAGGACACGATGTCCGCATGGTTCTGGATGACGAACTCGTGGCTGAGTACGGGCAAGTTCTTGTTGGCGGACTTCCTGCCTTTGATCGGGGCCATTGTCCGGGACGAGCTGGGCGACGGAGCTGGAAAGTCGGTCCGCGCGGGTGCCACGTAGGTGTGCTGCGTTCGGGTGCGCGTGCCGTCGTATATACCTGATCGTCGGGCACTGGGGAGTAGGACACGGTACGTGCGCGCGTGACGGCTCGCGGTGACGGACTACATCGAGAACACTGGAGAACGGCGGTCGGGTACCCGGATCCGAGCGTGTGGCAGTCGCGTTGGCCGTTCACAGGTTGCTGATGTGTCGACAACGTTACGAATACACCTGTCGGCGCGTGTTTACGTCTTTCCCGTTATTGATAACGAACGATAAACGAGTGCGGTCACTTCTCCGCGGTCGCGTTCAGCGGTACCGGTCGTCCAACACGACGCGCCGGTCGCTCACCCGAACGCACCCGTTCGCTTTTCCCTGACCGTTTTACGGTACGTCCTAGGTGAACGCGATTTTGCGAGCGGGCGACGCGGTATTCAACGCGCGCGAGCGAGTGTCCTGGTCGCGGGCGGACGATTTGTAGTTTTATCAATTAAAATACACAAATAACCGAATCGAAGTATTCGAAAATAGTACTAGTCGCCCGCGTCAGAAACAAAAATATTTGTTTTGACGCGAGCGATGATATTTTAATCGCCCGCCCGCCCGCTTGTTTAACTTCTAGATAGGGCATTCCATAAATTAAATCTATTTTGAATTTTATCGCGTCGCCCGCCCGCTCGGCCGCTCGCAAAATCGCGTTCACCTAGGACGCACCGTTATAGTTGACCGCGTAGTCATTACGGAGAGCTGCGCGGGCCGAACTATTCCGACCCGCACTGGGACCGGGCCGTGCCATAATAAGAATATTGAGGGGTTGGTTATGGGTGGGATCGTTGTGTTTTTTTCTTTGGAATGGGTCGGTCGAAAATAAAACTACCTAAATATAAGAGTACAATACTAATGCCGATTATTGGCGTTGGATAAGCAAATGTTTACGAACTGATGGAGTAAGCTTGTCGCAAATCGGAATAAAAATACATATGTATACATTATTAGTGTATTCGATATTTATAATAATAGATCACTGACAAGGCTGGATTGGACAAATTCGACCCACCGAGTTTTCTGTATGTTTCCGGCCCACTTACTAACTGGTGGCCCTTGTCCAAATTTTTTTAATCCCATATTTTAATAGGTGCACTAATCTTCAATTTTGAACCATTAATATTTTCTGTTAGCGGCCTTTCACAACTTAAAAGGCCAAAAATCGTCGCGGCCCACTGAGTTTTGCTCGGTAACTCGTCGGGCCAATCCGGCCCTGATCACTGATAAAAACAAATAATAAATATTACGAACGGACCTGGGCGGGTCGAACTGCGAAAAAAATATTACGGTCCGGGCCCGGTCGGGTTGGGCTTCAAAATAAAAAAGAAATTAAGGACCGGACTTAGGTGGGAGCATTTTGTAGGTTTAAGTTTCGGGCCGAAAAAAAACGGCTAGTGCAGATCTCTGCTAGACACCACTGCAGTTGTACCTGCTGGGCCTTGCGCTAATCGATGCACTCAGGCGACATAGGCCTATGCCTGAGGCGGAACTTAACATTTTTGAAAAAATATTACACTTACCAGAATCTACTCATAAAAAACTGTGTATAGTAAAAAATAAAAGTCAAAAACGGTTTTGTTTTATTTAAATTAATTTTTCAAATCGATTTAATAAATTTATCGTTTTAGAAAAAAAAAAAAAATCAACATTCTTTTGTTGAACGTAGTACTTATATGTAAGGGGCGGAAAAAATTAGGTTTGCCTATGTGTATGTAAAAGTTTGAACTGGGTCTGAATGCACCGCTGATTTTTGTGATCTACCGGTTACAATGGATGAGTGTAGAATGAGTTAGGGCAACGCAGTACTGCTCCGACGTCAGCCTGCGTCGCACAGTGTTTACGACACGTTTCCTGCGCGTGTGTGGAGCACGTTTTCAACTTTTTTGATTTTGTTGTAGGAGAGGATAAATAGCTTTATTAGATAAATCGCAACAGGAATAATGTTCATTTTTGTTGGGAAATATAGCGCAGGACTGTAGAAAATTCTGAAAGAAGTTTAAAATTTCAAAAATTAATAACTATATTTTTGAAAATTAAATAAAATTACAAAATTATTAATCTAAAATTACAATCTTTAATTTTCACTTAATTGGTTACATCCATTTAATAACTAACCTTAAAGTTTGGCTCTGTTGAGCCCATATTTCAGGTGAACTTCACTTATAATATACATCTATCCAGTGCTCGTCTTGTGGAGGGACGCGAGGGGACGGAGTACCCTAACTAATTTTCAGAAATTTTAGCGTCCCCCTACTATAATTATGTTATAATTATAATGCTTAACAAGTTTCGAGGACGCTCTTATTTTTAAAGTAAATAGAGTCCCTTTCTTTAATTTTTCCAAGTCGAGTATTGCATCTATCAAATAATCCACAAATCGTATCATTCTTTCATTACTTTTAGCGCTGTGACACGAATTGTTTGTCGTCGAGCGCACCAATACCGGATGTAGGTAATCAATCATTTGTTATATTAATGCAATAATTATTCGATAACGTGTTGATATTTTTACGAATACTACTATGGGTTTGGACAAAAATAGCATTTTTGCGATATAATTGAAAAATCACTCAACCATAGAGACTTTAATAAGTTAAAAGTTTTGTATATTTTATAAATGGTTACTAAATTATTTCTTTTTAAGTTTACATTACACCTTTACCAATAGTTTACGTTTAAAAAACAAACCAATTTTTATTCAAATCGATTTTTAGGCCTACATTCAATCCATTTGTTGGAAACACCTGTGAAATAACATGTTTTAAATCGACCTGATCTTCCTAATGTTATCAGCACATAATATAGTCTTTTGCACAGAATATGAATCAAAATGACATACACAATTTTTTCTCTTTTGGAATTATTGAGATTAATGTTCATATAAATATTACGTGTTTCAATATTAGCTAATTACAAATATCTTCAAATTTTTTATATTTTTGTGTACTTTTGGTGAATTTTAAAATAAAATGCTAAAATAGTAAAGGACTTTTATTGAAATTAATTTGAAAATACTCAAAAAAAAACCATACAACTCAAAGATATTTTACAATATAAGTAAAAATAAAATTATTTTAAATGAAGAAAACTCACCCTCTTAAAAGTGATAAAATAAAATTATATTAAACGTGTTTTTGGCACATTTCTACGTCTTCATCTTTTTTATCGGGGCAATCAGCTATCCCATCACACACCCAGTCTTGATTTAAACATTTACCACTATCACATCTGAATTGATCTGGATCGCATTCATGCACCTGTATAAATTGTAAAAATTAATGTATGCTTGTATGTCAAACATACGATCAGAAGTAAAATAAATAAAATAATTTAATATCAACAAGGCCAAAAGGTGGTGAACCCAAGAAAAAATTTCGTGATGGGGGGGGGGGGTTGAAATAATTTTAAATGTTGATCAATAGCATGCTTTATTACTCATTATTAGGACTCGGAGGTTATTGCATTAGCATGTTTTTTTTTGCACCATTGGATTTATTGCTAAGTGAGCTAGAAATGTATTCCAAAATACTACGAAAAACATATCAAAAGTTTATAAGGCATATTTTTACATATTTAGTGATTTTTAGATTTTAGAGCATATTTCTTAATTTTACAATTTTTTAGAGCATATTTTATAATCTTAAAGATTTAGTATGAAAATTCGAAAAATAAAAAAATAAAATACATTCATATTGAGAGAACTTTCTTGATATTCTTGTATCGTATTTCTAAAATTTCCATTTGACATTAAAAACAATGTTTTCTCCTATCGGTTAAATATATATTTATAAATTATAACTACAGCTAGCTTTATTCAAAATTAAATATTATACAACTATCAATTAGAAACAGGTGCTATCAAAATTCGATGATTTTCTATAAATACTTTTCTAGGAAAATAATTCAATGATTATTGAACATTCTTCCGGATGATTTTTTTTTTATTCAAGAAACACTTTTAATGCTAATTTATTATTATTTTTTATTATTATTTTATTAATCAGAATTATTTTTAATACTTTGCTTTTTCTATATTTATAATTTTATAAAATATTTGTGCAAATGAAAATTTTGTGTACAAAAATAAAATATAAGTGCATATTTTTAGAGCATATTTGTACTTTTTTAAGCGCATAAGTGCATGCATATTGAATGCTTTTTAAGTGCATTAAGTTCCGAGCCCTACTCAATATATAATAAATAAATTTATATATTTTATTTGAAAGTGTCATCGGAAACATTGAAATAACTATTAATTCTCATTTAATTTTTCCATTCAATTTTTATCTGATATTTTGGAGGAGGAAGGTTTGAATCTCTTAACTTCTCTGCGAAGTGGTGAATTTAACGGGAAAAAATAGACATTTGTCGCCTGGGCCCCTACCCGTAAAGACCCCCGAAACTCAGATCCAGTCTTCAGTTCACTAATTTTCATTTGAACAAAAAAATTAAAATAGAACAGAAATGAACCACGATTTTGAATATTCTTTTCGATACTGTAAAAACGTTGTCTGGTTTAGGCGTGGTCACCGAGAAAATTTACAAAATTATAAATATCCTGGAATTTACTTGACTATCATTAAATTAAGTTCAAAAGTTTGAGTAAAAATTGTTGGGCGGCATATTAAAAAAGCTGTAAAAGCCTTAATTCAAAATTTTGAGTGCATTATAGACTGCCTAGAAAATGAGATATCAAGAGTTGGAGCATCTGGAGATGATATTATGGCTGCCCAGACATTACTATCATCAAATAATTGGTTATTTTTTTTTAATTTGTTATAATGGCATTCAATTCTTGATATATCAAACAATTAATAATTTAAATAATTTTTTTGATATATTAATCCTGGGAAACTACAACTACAAAAAAAAAAAATTGATTTGATAATGGCTCAAAATTGTATTTTAACAGCATTAACAAAATTAAAAAATCCCAGAAATGAAAAATCTTACAATAATTTCATGACAAAAGCAAAACCAAATTGGAAAAAAATGGGTTTGGATCATGTTGACTTTCCAACAGTGAGAAAGCGGCGAATTAAAAAAATGGCCGGTGAAAAAGCTACTGATTCTTCTTTGAAAATGTTTGATAAACATAGTTAGTATGAAGTTTTTGATACAATGTGGAGTAATACGAATTTTTTGGGTTTTTGATGCTTAAAAATTTATAAAAGCTGATAGAAGGTGATTTAGATATCAGTGTTGGTATTTTGATTGAGAAATACGCTGATTTCTTTACAACTGATCTGAAATATGAGTTAATTAGTTTTATTAACATTTTAACATTTTATTAACAACAGTCCATTGAATAACTTAAAATTTATCATCGATAAACATTTGATAGACAGTTTTCCAGAGTTTAGCAGTCTTTTTAGATTATTTCTTACACTCCCTGTTAGTACGGCAAGTACTGAATGAATAATGAGTTCTTTAAAAAGAATCAAAAAAACATCGTGTGCCACTTTAAGTGAAAAAACCTTAAATTAATTCAGTACCTATATTTTAATCGAAAGATCGGTGGCAAATAAAATAAATCCAGACACAACTATTGAAATATTTGCTGAAGCCAAAAGAAAATTTACAATTATTTGAATTACCGAGTTACATTAGTAAGATACTAGGTGTTTAACAATATAATTTTTTTTTTTGTTTAAATTTAATGATAATTTTAATAAGGTTATTCAGAAATAATATATTCAGTTTGGACGATTTAAATAAATGTATATATATTTTTTTTTTTTTGGTTCAATACCTAACTAGTTTAACAGTATTTTAAAAGGGAAGTCATGAGTTAGTATTTACGGCGATTCATAATTCTTGGGTCATTTACTCGTATATCGTATGTCGCCTGGGCTTTTTTCCTTAAATCTGCCACTACCTCTGCGTTCGCGCTTGAGATTAAATAATGTATGGTCATTCTAAACGAATAAAAAATTATCACGATAGGTATCTTTTCAAATACCAGTAAAAATTTTAAGTTTTGTTCAAGTATTAATCATATAAGATATTAATCATAATATCATAAAAGTATAAATCATAATGTTAAAGTTATTCTTCAATAATTTAACAATGTAAAAAAAAAAAAAAAAGAAATAATTCTAAAAATTAGAGTCTAATTGATAAAAAAGTATAAATATTCTCATACCTTACACATATGTACGTCTTCGTCTTCTTTGTTAGGACAATCATTGTTTCCATCACATACCCAGTAAAATGCCAGACACTTTCCAGATGAACATCTAAATTGATCTTCAGAACAATTATGCGTCTAAAATGTTGTTCTTAAATTAAAAATTGTTTTTGATGTTATAAAAGCGTATTGATATGGATTATAATTTTGATAATTTTATTTTAATTAGTACCTACTAAAACTAATATTTAATATAATATTCATAATCTTATCAATCATATTGAAAATAATCATCGATCAAGAAATAAATAACTAAAATTAACAAATAATATTTTCTTACCCTACACATGTCTAAGTCTTCATCAGCGTTATTAATACAATGACTTCTACCATCACAAACCCAATAAAATTCAATACATCTTCCAGAACTACATCTATATTGGTCATCTGAACATGTGTGATTCTATAACAGAATATAGATTTTAGATTTTGAATGTGAAGAAGAATATATTGGAATTTCAACAGTGCAATTTTTTTTCTATTTCGGGTTATGTTTTATCACAATTAAATATCCCATTTTCTCTGAAGAATAAAATTTAGTTATTCATTTTTAAGATAAAACTAAACATTTTTTAAATGACCCTTCACGGACTTTGTTTTGATGGAATTTATAGGTGTATGATTACACAGTTATAAGTGACAGTTTTAAAATACGCCAAGTAAATTATTCTACTTGTTTTTTTTTTATAAATTAAAATAATAATTTTAAATAATATTTTCTTTTGCTCGTTTTCAAAATAATTTATAATACTTTTTTAGTACATTATTATAATAAGCACCTGCTAGCTCAAAACTTTAATTTGAAATATAAATTAAAATAGATAATCCACAAATCATTGAATCACTAGTTAACCATTTTTATAAAGTTGTTTCCACTTAAACTTTTCTCAGCTGAGTTCCTCTTTGGTATTTTAACTTTTTATTAGTTCACACCAATTTTATTGCACCAATCATCATAATAAATTATCAGGAAACATTTTTAAGTATGAAATCAGAATTTATAACCCCTTATGGTTTTATGCAATATATTTAAATTGAAAGCGAGTTGGTGACAAAAGTTTATTTATGTATCTAGTGTACTAAAATACCAAACACTATTTTCAAAATTACACAAGGTTTATTCTCGCATGAAACACAACACTATTATATTAGTTATTAAAAAAGTAATTTAACTGTAATTATTTAAAACTAAAATGTGGCACAAATTATTAATTATTTAAAATTTTTCAACTATGTAATACCATTAGGCTAATGAGTATTTAAATATAACATAAAATAAAATTCATACTTTACACATTTCTGCATTTTCATCTGCTCCATCAGAACAGTCTTTCCTTCCATCACACACCCAATAAAATTTGAGACATACACCAGATTTACAAGTAAACTCATTATTTTCACATACTTTTTCCTATATGAATATTAAATTTTTCAAATCATCAATTATTCCAATTACGTATATAGATAGATGTCTAAAACTTAAACATTATCAATAATGTTAATTGGATTTAGAGCATTGGTTTTGGTTAAGTAAAAAGATGAAATCAATAAATCAGTCGTAAAATTCTGTTTAAACTAAAAAGCTCAAAATCAAAAAAAAAAAACATCGAAAAACGTAATATTATGTTATTTATGTAATTAATAAAATAATTTAAATATATTTTGCATAAGAATATAATTTTAAGATATCTTAAACTATAAGTCTTATAAAATATATCAGTAATTGTATTATATACTATATTAGGTTTGAAGACAAATCTAAAAATAAACGTACACCATTTTAGTATTTAAAATATTATGCATTTTAAGTGCCATTACTCAAAATTAAAATAATTTTATATATATATTTCAGGTAATGCCGTTTTGAATTAAATTCCAACAAAACTGTTTTTCTATGTATGTAATATCAAATAATAATAAATTAAAAAATAATAAATAATAAAATAATAAATTATAATAATATAAGTTTTATATTTTTAGACAACATTTGTAAATGAAAAAATTGAGTTAGTAGTATTTATTATTAAACATTCAGATATAGTAACTTATTGTTTTAATTTAAAAGTTACATAACTCCGTAGATAATTGTTATATTTTTATTGATTTTCAATATTAAAACAATGCACTATTTAATGCCTTTCAATTATTATTTAGAAAAAATGAAACACTACGTACATTGATCCGTGAGGCAAATATTATGAATTCATAATTTTAACATTTCAACGATTTCATAAATGAAAACAGAAATTTAATTCCTTAATATTATTTCGCCCTAATATTACACAGAACCGTTTTCAACTAATATTATAACCAGGGCTTCAATGAAAAGAATACATATTGTTTACCGTTATGGGACATTTAAACGTTATAAGTAATTGAGCGTTTAACGTTAGAAATAATTTAAACGTTTATAAAATTTTCCGTTTACCGTTTTTGACAATTATAGCGTTATGAACAATTTAGCGTTTTCCTTTTTTGCGTTTTGCTTTATTTAAATTAGTGAACAATTTTAATCGTTTTTAAATATAGTACGTATCGTTCAATACTATGTAAAATAACATAAATCAATTGTAAAACATAATCATCAATACTATGTAAAATACATATTTTAAATATAATATGATAAATATCACCTTTAACGATATTTTCTCTTTGCAAATTACATGTAATTCTCATAACTCATAACTTATAAATGAAGCAATCGTATTTGTTGTACAAAAAACAATAAAATGCACATACCACGCAAAATATGTATTTGTTGTCAATTTATAACTTTTGTATAGTGTATTACTAATGTTTCATCGGTGTTCACTGAAATTATTTTTGATGGGGCAGGCCATACGGGTTCCGCGCCGACAATATTTGACGCAATTTCAGAAAGCATATTTATAAATTATAATTGGTAATGTTCATATTTTATTAGTTGATAAATGTATTGCTGTTTTAAACATGCTTTATTTTTATTTTATTTAAATTACCTAGTCAGTTTTACAAAAAATGACTATATTGTATATCTATTTTACTGATAGTTATAAATTGGGGCCAGAAGTATATTCTTTTGCATATTTTTTTTGAGGCTATGCAGTTAGACGGGGGTTCGAAATCTTTGCAAATCTATAACCGGTTAATTAATGACAAAAGTTTTTTTAGCATATTTCAGAATATTTCAAGATAGAAGAAAGTGAAAGTAGAAAGAAAGAAAGAAGAAGAAAGTAGAAAGTCATCAACAAGTCCATATCATCTTCAGAGTAATGGCTCTTTAGAAAGGAGTCATCGTACTTTGGGTGACTATCTCAAAAGTTTTGTAAGTAAAGATCAATCGAGTTGAGACGAATAAATACCATTTGCGATGTTCGCTTATAATTCCAGTAACCACTCGACAACGGGGTACCAGCCCTATGAATTATTTTTCGGTAGGAAGATAGAATTACCCACCAGTTTGACGAAATCTCCAGAATCTCAGTATAACTATGCGGATTATCAATTTGAACTAAAGAAAAGAATGCAAGAAACTCAATAAATAGCCAAGAACCGACTTCTAACTAGTAAGGAAAAATCTAAGAAAAAATATGATGAAAAATCCAGTGAAGTACCTTTTGTGATAGGTGATAAGGTATATTTAGAAACGAAATATTCTTGTAATAAACTCCTGCCACAGTGGAAATGACGAATATAAAGTTTTCAAACCAATCCCTTTACCAATTCCATATGATGATAATTCGGTAGTTCTAATAGCACCTGATGTAGAGTACCTAACACTTAGTAATAATAACGAAAAAATTTTCGTTTTGACAGAAAATCAATGGAAAGCATGTAAGAAATTTAAGAATCATAAACTTTAAAAAAATAGTCAACCTTTTTATCAAAGATCAATGTCGGACATGTGCGAAACCTCATTCTTAACTAATAGACAGAATACACAGAAAACTTGTAAAATTAAATTTATATCATTAGATACTTCAGTATGGCATAGTTTGTTAAATATAAACTCATGGCTATTCTATACAAAATCCGATTTTTGTACTATTACTTGTTTAAATTCAGCAGAAAATCATAAAATCGAAATCTTTGGTGTGGGCAGAATGACTATTTCTTCCAATTGTGATGTGCATACAGAAAATTCGATCCATTTACCTATGCACAGCACTAATACCAATGTAAATTTAGATTTAATAGCAGAAAATCAAAATAATAATGTATTATCATATTTTACGAAAACCCTTTTGTAACACCGCAGAACCTGTCTAGTATAAAAACAATTAAGGACTTTGTAGATTTAACAAATAAAGCAATGAATGTAAATAGTCTTCAACATAAAGAAGTTGAATCATTTTTTATCTTTAAAATCGAAATTAACATTTTGATATTATATGTTTTGACATGCATAGTTATAGTTGTTATTAGTGTAATTATAGTAAAAATTAGAAGTAAGATTATAATGTACGAATCGGAAATTGCGGACAAACATTCTCCTGAAGAAAATGACAAAAATCTTTAAGTGATATGTTACATTAAGCTTGTGAAACATAGGTGACCATTAGGCCCCTATGTCTCATTTAAGAAGGGAGGTGTTAAGAACCCCTACGGGTTATTGTAATATTAAGTGTAGTCTTAGTATAGTGTATAAGACATGTGTTGTACATCGTAATAGTAGATATGACACTTCCATGAATTGATCGCCCAGTGGGGACCGAGCTAAGGAATGTGCTGATTCAACCCTTGGTGACTGGCTCGGCCCTCGTCTGGACGATCGTCAGTAGTGTGTGAAGTGTATAGTGAGTAGTGCACGTCTATAAGCAGAACCTCTTTTGAATAAAATAAATCTAACTTCTATTAAGAATACCAGATATTTGTTCTTTCGGACCCGTACCATTACCTACGGAAAATATAATAATAATAGAGTTGTGTTGTGATCAAAAGCGCGCACAACAAAAAAATATAATTCCGACATCTAGTTATAAATATTTTTTCCATTAAAACATTCATTTATGTTTCAATCGTTAATCGTTTTCTGTTACGTTATTCGATATTCATTTTAATCGTTTTTTGTATCTGTTTCGTTATCCATTATCTGATTTCAATCGTTTTCGAATAGTTTACCGTTATAAAAATGTTTTTGTGCCCTGATTATAACGTTTCAATGCTGTATTTTTAAATGAATTCACGATCAGTTTCGTTATAAAAAACGTCATTACCATAATAATTATTCACAATTTAACTGTTATTGATTAATTGATCAAAAAATAAGAGTAGGAAAAAATCAACGGTGGATATAAATATCCTGAATAGTAAATACTTAGGCTAGTACTTGGCATATTTTTTCACTTTCATCTTCACCACCAACACAATCATTTATATATCCATCGCAAACCTTATTTTTTTCAATACATTTACCCGAATCACATCTAAATTCTTCGTTAAAACATTGTCGTGCCTACAACGAGATAAAAAGCATACATTAATTATAAATACGTTCTACGAGTATAATATACTTTATTACATTTGAGTATAAGATAATAATTTTGTTATGAACACGTTCGATTGGAATGAAAATGCTGATACTACTGATACTTATCAATATTTAAATATTATATTAAGTCGCGTATAGAAGAGAAATTATCAAGACAATTGTGTGACGCAAAATTAATATAACCTATTATAAGACAATTCGTATAATACATATTGACAATAATTTCGATTGTGAGATTAATTTTAAGTAAACTGAACGTCGTGTTTGTGCATACAGTTTAATATATTTAAAAGTAAAGATGAATACACTAGCATATTTCAACTGTCTCACAGATATCAATACGGCATATTTAACTTTAAATGTATAAAGTAATATTAAAATAAATAAAATTGTGAGTAGGTACATAAAATACTTTTTCGACTTATTTAATTAAATATAATTCCATACATCACACATCGCTTTGTTTTCATCACTGCCATCAAAACAATCATTACGCACATCACAAACAATATTTTCTGAAATACATTGACCAGACTTGCATTTAAATTCATCCACCGAACAGGTTCGATTCTAAATTCAAAAAATCTTAAGATAATATCTGGTAAAAGTACTTAAAGCTAAATTATTATATAAATATATTTAAAAACATGAATTTTAAAAATGTACGAAACTAAATTTTCAATTTACTGAAATACTTATATCTTGCAGCACATCTAAAATGATCGTACAAAAAAGATTATTTATTTCACTACTTTGATATAATATGTTATAATTTAATACATTTTAATTTTATTTTGGTTATATTATTTCTACAAAAATTGTATATCCTCTAAATAATATACTATAATAACGTTTTAAAAACTAGGTAAATTAAAAACTTCATAAAAGTGTTTTGGAAGGTAATACAATTTTCATACGTTACATAAAAATTCGTTTTCATCATTCCCATTAGGACAATCTAAAATTGTATTACATATCCAATTTTTTGGAATACATTTACCAGAACTGCACCTAAATAATGTGCTGTCGTCACACACACGAGTCTGCAACAAAATATTTCAATTTGACATTAAAAAACGAATAATATATTCTTAAATTTTAGATTTCATAGGAAAACAATAAATGTTTACATTTTTGTGTAAACTACTTGTTTGAAATACGAGTACAATTAGTCTACGTTATCTTTTAATATATTTCGCAGAGAATTAAAACAATTTATCGAAAAACATTGTGCAGTTGAAATAAAAAATTATTTATTTAGCTTCAAGTAAAATATACAAGTATGGCGTTAATAAACGTAATAATAGATTCGTACATTACACATATTTTGGTGTTCATCTTCACCTTTACTACAATGATTTATTCCATCACATACCCATAAATCTGGGATACATTTTCCAGAATCACATGAGAATTCACCATCACACAAGTGCATCTAAATTAAAATGTAATCATTACAGCATTCGTTAATTGCAGTATAATACACTGTAATCAAAGTTTCGTTCTAAACTACAATTTTTATGTCTCCGAAAGTTGACTACCAACCGATACATGCATAACATCTGATTATACTATTATAAAATGAATTATTATTCTAGTAACTAGTCAGTGTTTGTATGTAAAAAATCAGAATAAGAAAAAGACCACTAATGCATTATCCTCGAACTTCGAGAATAATAATAGGCATAGGCGTGCGCAGGGTTTATGCAGGATATGCAACTGCATACATACAAAAAAATAAATATAAATTATGACATATTTGGTTAGTTGTGATTTTGTATTGCATTATGATTTTTATTATATTTTTATATTCAGTACCAGACATTTTTATTTATTTTTGAAACGCAAATAATATACACTAATAACCATTTAACGTGATAATGAAATTAAGAAGTTCTATGCTACAAAAGAGAATAAATAGCTTTAAACTATAGAGCAATAAATGGCAATAAATTAAGATTTCAAAGACATTAGTGATATTAATAATTCGACTAAAAGCAGAATTGTTTTATGATCAACTATAATTTTTTATCAAATGTATTTTGTTTTTTCATATAATTATATAATTATGTTTTTTTTTTATTTGCCCTGTTTAAACATATTCTTTAAACCATTTCAAGTGTTTTGTATTTAATTTTTTTTTCGAAATTTATTTTAAATTACATTTTAATTATGAAGATAGTTATAACAACGAATAAATGGCTATTCAGTCATTTTTTTGAAAACAAATTAAAATTTTTAATTATAGTTATTTAGATTTTTGTGTGTATATTTTTACCAGAATTTTGAACGTTTAAATTAATTTTCAGTAGTGTTGAGGGTAGGCAGTGGCACTTTTTTGCATACCCTGTAAAAAAGGTCTGCGTACGCCTATGCCTCAAAGTAAACATTATCTGGTTGATGAAAGTCTATAGGGTACAACTTCAAACATACAAACTTTCAAACTATGATTGTGTGTAAATTATACTAATTAATTAATAGTTAATTATGTTAACTAATACTATTAGTTTAATTACTAATATATTAATAAATCGTTACCAATGACTAACTTAATAATAACAAAAGCTGAAGTATATACAAATGTTTACATAGTAAATTTGTTACAATAATATATATATATGAGATAATCATACATTACAGTTATTAACGTCTTCGTCACTACCATCCTCACAATCAGGTATTTCATCACAAGCGAAATAGTCATAAATCTTGTTACCATTGTTGCATGTAAACAGACGATTTGAAATTCCTAATTAAACAATATTGTTGTTTTATTTATATTTAATGGACACTACTTACATATCATGCAAAAAAGGGAAATTGTTCACGCAGGAGGGGCGCATAGCCTTATTTATACAAATAGGATATATGTATGGTAAGTAATGGTAAATTGTCGGCTTTAGGGACAAAGTTAAATCTTATAATAATTATAATAAAAAATAAATAATATTATGGTACTGCAAATTAATAGTATACTTTATTTTCATAATACAGAGTCAAGTTTTCGTGGTGTTTCTTTGGAAAATCTGTTAATTATATTTGTTATGTTATTTTCGCTGTCAATATTTACTCGTATATTCTTATAAATATTGCATAAAAGCCAACCCTGTTAATTTTTCTTTTCCCATTATTGCTCTTAACTAAGTTATAAACAGCCAAAAAGAGGAAAATCTTTTTTCCGCTGTTGCGACAGAAATTGGCAAAGTAACTAAAGTGTAAAGAAATTATTTTGATCGAAACGATTTGTATCTTATAAGCAGAATTTATATTTATAAGCTAAGGATTTACTAATAAAAAACTATTGTTATTTTTTTCACGCAAATTACCGAGACGACATGTGACGCGTGACGGTCAACGTTTTCCTGTAGTAACAAAGATAACATTTCAATAATTTTTATTACAGTACACTGCATAATAGTTTTGATTGATACAAGATACAATTGGTGTGCGTACCAGAAATTATAACCGATCCTATACGATGTAACTTGTTCATATTAATAGTGTTCTATGAGTAGCTGGAAAGTTTAAGATTCTTAAATGATCGATAAAAAATAATTGAATATTTTTTTTGACATGTTTGAAAAAAAGTTTTTTCGGAGATTTTGGGGAACCCTTTCCTTCACCCTTGAATCGGCGCTAGCATGCAACGTATATTGAACGAAAAAAATAATGGATTAAACATAAACCATTGCATATGATTTGACATTGATTACAACTTTAGATTAAATTAAAACCAAAAATTAATTTCTGATACTAAGGTCAAATTTATGTTTCTTTTTTCTAATAGCAGTTACTATGTAATCGTTTTGTAAGTTACAACTTAACCACCATTTTGAAAAAAAATAAGAAATATTTTTTAAACAAAATCTTTAACCCGATAGTACAGATTATTTTTATTATTGCTAACCTTCCACTAGGTAATTTAAAAAATCTTTCTAACGTAAGCCATATTTGACATGTTATAGTAAAAATACTGTTTTAACTGCACACTAAATCGAAATTATTTGAAATATGTATAACTTCTCATTCTTCTATTGTTTTAAATGTTTACATTTTTCAAAACATGAAATATCAAATTATTGGTGATTGCAAACTCTTCCGATTTTCATGATTAGCGCACTCTCCAACTGGGTCAACTTCAGTACTACCTGAAGGGTAAATGTAACCTCTCCTCGTAAAAACTGTTTGTACATAATAATTAATGAGCTGTATCGCTCGAGATACTCAATTAAAACAAAAAAAGTAATAGTCAAATGGGATATACAATGTTTACATTCAAGTTTAATGTTTTTAATATATAGGAATATGAACAACTACAAATCAGCAGTAATATAACCACTTGAATATAAATTTTTACAATCATTAACCACAGTGTAGCAATTAATTAGGCACCTATATTGCCTATTTGTTGGTTTGGTAAACCCCCCCACGGGCGGATAGGCCTACCGGGAAACCGGGCATTTCCCGGTGGGCCCCCCTTCGTATTTTGGTAATGGGGCCCTTTATTATGCAATTACCTACGGTAGAAATTTGAATTTTAAAATAAAATATTATAATCTTATATCTATTACTAAGTGTGGTCTTTTACAAAAAAATTCTTATCGGCCCGCAGTCGCCGCGCTACCACCAACTACAACGTCGATTACTGGTTGGCGACGGGCAGTGGTCACGGTTGAAATCGCTAACTGATGAGATGGGAAATAACTCACAAATATGTTGTTGAAGATACTATTTTTAGAATAATCTAAACTAAACATTGGACTTTTTCAATGCTATCGAGTATTTGTGTGTGGTACTGTAATATTTACTATTTTACTGGTATCTTATCACAAACAAATTGTAGAATTATAATTATTATTATTATGTACTTATTGCACTATTGCAGACATAACGTTACCTACTCGCGGTTACTCGTTAGTCATTTTTCTTTTTAATTTAAGTTATATAGTTGATCAGTGTTACATACTATATTCCTTAGTTCTTATATATTGCATAGTACATACAGTGAAGACAGACGTTTACGTGCTGCTATTAATTTTTTTCATTGGGCAATTCCAAAAAAGTACATAAAAGCGGAAATGCTAAATAAAAAAAAAAAAAAAGGAGAAAGATTTGCTTAGAAAGGAAGGTCAAAACCCTAAGCAAAAAAAAATTAAATTTTGTAAAATCAAGTAAGTACTAACATTGGTATAACTATGGGTGCCGTTCTGTATAATAATATATTTTTTTATTATTTAATACATTATTTATAACAATATAGGTGCTCATTAATTATTATAATTATATAATGTTATGTAGGAATATTAACTAAAATTACACTATTTTATATAGGTATCTTTGTATCATTTTTACATTTGATAACAATTAGCAGTATAAAATAAGTAGGGTTTGTCGAATAAATATACTTAAAATATTTAAAACACAAATTGTGTTCTGAATGTGTCTATGATATTTATAATTATTAACATTATTTGAAGTATAAAACCTTAACTTAAACACTTGTATAATTAGATGTACCTACTTAATTGATAATGGGTGTTATAATATATTTATATTATAGATATATTATGCATTTTTTAGATACTAATATAACAGACAGTGTGTCAAATCATACTAAGCAAGAAAATAAATTGATGCATTAATTGTTATTGTATTCAATTTTGAAATAATGTTAATAGTTAAATTAAAAAAACAAAATTATAATAATATAAATCATTAGGTATATTATGTTTTACCTTAATAATTTTATAAATATACATTCCAATTTTCATTTTTAGGTGAAAATAATTTTGAAAAAATGTAACAGTAGTGTTATTGAAAACGAAAGAGAAAATCTGAATAGTGATAATGGTAATTTCTATTTAACTTTTTTACCTAAATTATTTAAAAAATTAAAACTACTTTCTAGATGTCAATACTTCAAAACAAGACAATAAAAAAAATCAAGTTAATACAACTGAAGATGTAGAAAATGTTATTACCTTGGAAATAGTTGAAACCTGTTCAAATATTGATAATGGTACCTATATAATGTATACCTAAATTTAAATTCTATAATTTTAAACAATTATAACTTTTTTACAGAGGCTACTGATATGTTTATAAAACTTAGAAGTATTAATGTTACAAGCTTTTGGTCATTTTATCTTTATCAACTGGAAACAAACATTCCATTCATACTTTCAAAATTGTACAACTGTAAGGATGGAGGTCATCGTAAATGGATATCTTATTGAATTAAGAAAAAAGTTTTATTTTGCAATATATGTCTTTGTTATGGTGATGGTTCAGGATCATTTTCCTAAGGATTTTCTGTCTGAAGGTATGTTTATGAGCAAGTCACTGATCATGAAGAAACAATAACACACAAATTAAATGTTGATGCTCATTTGATAAAAAAGCAATATTCCTCAGTAGATTCACTTTTAACACACGAACTTGGTTCAGTTAGAAAAATACAAGTGGAAAACAATCGTAATGTATTACTTCGTCTTATTGATGTATTAAAGTTAATTGGAAAGCGCGGACTAAGTTATAGAGGTAAAACAAATGAGGCTGCTTGTTCACTCGATGATTCTTCCTTAGACCATAGGAATTTTTTGAAAATAACTTTACTTATTAAAAAATATGATTCCTTGCTTAAATCACATTTAGATAAAGTTGTAAAAAAAGTTTAAAATGTCATAATGCTGTAGCCCAACAAGAGGAGATCAAGTTACTTTTTTATCAAAAACTAAAATTAATTATATTCTTGAAATTATTGCTAAAAGTATAAAATTTTCAATTTTTAATGAAGTGAAAGATGCTGTAATATATTCTATACAATTCGATACAACACAAAATATATCTATTATAGATCAATGCTCAATAATATTAAGATATGTAAATGGTACATTTGTCTTCGAAAGATTAGTTGGTATGGTAAGGTGTAGCTCAAGTAAAGGCTCCGATTTTGTCAAGTTACTCTTAAATGTTCTCAAAGATATGAATATAGACGCAAAATGTTGTTTAGGAAACGAAATAAATGGAGCTGCAAATATGCTAGAAGTTAATAATGGATTTTCCGCAAAAATGAGCGAAGCAGCGGTTGAACAAGTACATGTATGGTGTTATGCACATGTAATAAATTTAGTTATTAGTGATATTACAAGCAAAATTGTCCAATCTATTTTTTTGTTTGATATTTTGCAATGATGTGAAGAATTTATACGTGGGTCATATAAACGTATGAACAACCAAAAATTCCAAAAAAAAAAATGTACAATCGGCAAAACAAGATGGTGTTCCAAAGATGCAGCAATGACAAAGGTTTTTGAAATTTTAATGAACCCGAAAATGGATTGTACGCTGATCTTATAACTACATTAGATGAAACTGAAAATAATTTAGGTATAATTCCAGATGCTCGATTCGAAGCAAAAAATTTAAAAGGTTTGTTAAAATATGCAATTATTTTAACTGCCCAGGTGTACTTGCGAATTTTTAAAAAAACCACTCCTCTATCAATATATTCACAAGGGCATGGAGTTAATATAATTGCAGCTTATCAAATGGTGAAACAAACTTTGAATGACTTGCAAGACTGTGCCCGACAGTTTCAATGTATGAAAAAAGCAGCTAATACTTTTGTTGAATATAGTAATAAAAAGTTTGATAAAATGGAGAGTAATACTTTAGAAATTCTAAATGAGCTACCTCATAGTAGAATAAGAAAAAAAAAGGCAATTTACTGACTATGAATCAATATATGATCCTATTACAGATCCATTACGTGCATTTGAAATCAATGTTTACAACCAAGTATTTGATATTGTTATTGAAAATATTTCATCAAGATTTGAAAAACATGAACAACTATGTGCCGATTTTTCTTGCCTCGACTAAAACAATTTTCAACCAAATTTACCACTTCTAACAAATGCTTTAATAAAAGTATTTGAAAAAATCAGAAATTTTATTCCGGACATAACTTATGATGATCTTAGAAATGAATATATTGACTTTACATCTAAATGGAGAGTTTAAAAAAACCATTGCTTGTGTACATGATGAACTAAATAATCAAGTTACTGATGATGTATGTATGTATGTAATGATTCAGAAAATGGTTATCTATATTTATTTTTACGTAAATATTAAAATATAAAATCATCAATAATTATGTTATATTTATTTAATGTTTTGTTCTAGGACTCAAGAGTGATGATGATATTATAGTATATGTGCATAGTTCCAGTGCCAAGTGTTGTGTTACATGCTGTTTTGAAGTGTTGGTGAAATATAATTTATATGCAAATACATATCGTGGCCTCTACTTTGCATATAAATTTATGCTTACTTTATCCATTACACAAGTGAAATGTGAACGTACATTTTCTAAATTAAAATTTGTAAAAAATTATTTAAGAAATACAATAAGTCAAAATGTATTAGAGAGTATGTTGTTAATGAATGTAGAGAAAGATATTCTCAAAAAAATTGTCATTCTGAACACATCATTAATAAATTAGGAGCTAGAAGCCCAGTATTTGGTAAAATGTTATTATTTTAAAATGAAAAACTAAATAAATGATTTTTAAAATCTGTTTTGTTGTACATTGTTGGGTTATGTGTTATGCTTTGTTTTGATGTAAAATTCATATAATAATGTACTTAAGTGCGACTTTTTTTTAAGCTGGGGCCACTTTTTAAAATTTCCCGGTAGACCAAAAATGGCCTATCCGCCCATGAGTAAACCTAGTCTAGCTGTTTTTTCTAGATAAACATAATGTTACACCTGCAGAGTTAAGACTAGTTCTAAAAATCAGGAAAGTTTACCTACCATACAATCGGTAGAGTTTACCAATGCCCAAAATTATTACAAAAATAAAATTAAAAAATGAAATAAATATTTTATTTTAGGTAACATGAAAAAAATGTTTGCTGATAATTTATAAAAATCATCATAGAAGGTGCCTATGTATATTATGTATGTGTATTTTACATATTAAATTTATTATGTAGCCATAAAAAATACTTACTTGCGTGAGTGATTGCTACGAAAACTATTAAAGTATATGATTTAAATAATGCATTTAACATATTTATGTTTGATAGACAAAAAGGCATGGTAGTGAATAAATTCAATCTACAATGAACAGTCAAAACTAAAATAATAATCTGACCAAAACTTTATCCCTACTTAAATGCACGTTTGATTATAGAATGTAAAGATAAAATGGTTTGAAGGTTTTTTATTTTTTCTAATTGCTTGAATTTAATAAATATTACAGCATGATTTTTTTAAATTTATTTTAAAGACAATAATTAGAAATTATTTATGAACGAAAAAATGTGTTTGATATTAAAATTATACAATACAATACACCTATGTATTAAAATAATTTAAATGCGGAAACCTGTGTTGGGGATGGAATTAATTATGAGTGAGGTAATAGATGGAGAATGAGAATTGTGAAGAAGGATTACAGATAAGGGGAAAAGTAGCTAAAAGAGGAGAGTTTGCAAAATAATGAGTCGCGGAGAAGAGTAAGGACATGAGAAAATAATATAATATCAATTACATACTGCTTTGTGGGTGTGAAGAATGCAAAGGGGAGAAGATTTGAATGAAAGAAGAAATTAATGATAAGAAAGAAGATTATAACCAAAGCGAATTCGAAAAAAAAAACATTTTAGATCGAGGAATGTCCAGATCACGGAACCAAGAGGAATTAGGGATGATTGATGAAGGTTAAATACGTATAATTTCGATACATTAATGAACAAATCAACACTATATATGTTGATACAATATGGAAATGTTACATTATTAAACAAAAAAATACATTACTTTAATAATGATCGAATGGGAATATAATATAATGTATTTATAACTGAACATCAACTATCACCAATAACAAAAATTATTTTATTCGGTAGCATTACGTACTCTTTTATAATTATCGCATTTTATTTATAAATATTTTATATTACTAATATTATATGAATATAAACTGATATTTTTGGAAGGGCGTTTATAACTCTTCCCTAGATACGCCAATAGTATTCAGCAGTATTATTCATAAACAAAAACCAAATAAATCAAATATTTTATCAATATGAAGAGATATTTAATATATTTTACATTTATCATTAAGTGATAAATACATTTACATATGTATATGCATTTATTTTTAATTAGGACAAAGTGTATTATAAAATACAGAATATGAGAGAATAAACGGTCTTCTGTGTGGTCGTACGAGGCGATCACTAGACGATATTTAGTGTTCACATCGAATTTATATTTATTTATATTTTTTGTGTGTTACAGTGGTATACGCCGAAATGGATGGGACTCTACGACACTATCAATCAAGGAAACAATAATAAGCCGAAGAGAAACACGAGTGTGCGTCGACATCCTCACTCAACAGTGGTGTACCAATATCCCAACATACTGTAATTTTTAGTCACAATGGATAACATATCATTTTTCCTTCTATTAAATACACCAAACGCTTCACATTGCCCACGTTGGTGAATTTGGCGGACAGGAAAAATGTCACAAAATGTTTTGTCAGATACTAGATATCAACAAGTTGACGTCTTTATATCACGAATGGATCTTCGCAGGAAAAAACTTCGGATCCACGACGTCATTAGTCCGCGGATTATATGCATTTGCATATGCCATTGCATATAATAGTATTTTTTTTTTTTACCAAAGATGCATATTTCAATGATTCGTAATGTAAATGACATATAATCGTATTTTTATACAAGAAACACACTGATTAAATGTCTTAAAACAAATACTATATAGACATGTATAGCACATAATAACCGAACTAATTGACCGGACGAGTTTCTACTGCCGTCGTTAAATATAAATAATATAAAAAGTTTTCGAAGATATCGTTGATCGTGCCATGCTCGAACAAAATTAAATTATTTTTTATTTTTGTGTACACTTTTCAGTCTCATATTCGTGATCCACCAAAACGTACACGTTAAAATATTAATCTATTTAATAAGATGCCTCCTATTAAAAATACACGTATTCATGTTTGGATAAATTTATATCCAGGCACGTTAACTACTGATGGAATGGATGTGTACTGCGGGCTTGGGTCAGTTCTCCTCATTGATAAGAGATAAAAATGATAAGATAACATTTTATAATAATACACCAACTGTTGGGAATCAACATTTTTACTGCCAGGAATTTAACGCCAAAGAATTTAGCAATCCAGTGTCTATGTATTTTATATATTTAACGGTTTTACTGATTGCATTCGAAAATCGTAAATCATTATCACTTTGGTTATTGTTTAAGACTATCACCCGCGATTATTACATGGGAAAACTTTCAGCGATTATACAGAACTGAACTAAGCCCCTTTAATAACTGACCGACAGACCCTGTATGTATCAATGAAATTTTTTTTTTCTAACTATTGTATTTAATTTTGTTGTCTTTACATACGCGTTATGTATTTATTTTTGTACTTTAACATTTTGTATCATGAACAATAACCGGCATTTCTAGTCATAATGATTCCAGTTACCAGTGTTTGAAACACTGTTCTACTCAGTTTCGTTGTAAAAATCAAATGGCGAATTTCGACAGCAGATCATCACTCTAGTAACGCGCAAGTGGTTGACTTTGAGATTTTATGTTATTCATTTATTATTAATGTAAGTTTTTGAGTCAAGACAGTGTTCCAATTGGTTTGGAATTGTATTTGTTTGCAAAGTATGAATGACCAGTGAAAGGCTTTGAAAATCTTTCTCAGAAAACCGTGAGTGTAAATTAATAATACAGTTTGAAACACTTCTGGTGTTCCATTCATTACGTTTAATGCTTAGAATATGTTTTAATAATTTTAACAGTCCATTTATTGTAGGTTAGGTACTATGAATTTAATCCATCAACTGACATTACACTTAGTATGTGAATACACAAAAGCCATATCTAACAGTTACAATTAGTAAAACCATTTAATTATACTTACATATTAGTTTTTCCATTTAATTATATTTTGATTCTCTTTAGTAAATGTTGTTTACGAGAAAAACCTTTATTGATCAACATCTATTCTCTTCTAATACAGTTTATTTACTTTTTTCTAGAGAAAATTTTTTTATTTAACTTAATCTAAAAACTATGGACTTGCTTATTATTTAATAAAATATTGTTTTTGAAAACTGACTGAATGAAAAGCATATAATAAATCTTAAATAGTGTAATTTTCTTACAATACATAGCTTATGTTGATCAATAATTAATTTAATGGTAATTAGTCAATCCTTTTTGGAAAACTTCTATCAATTAATTATTAGATCACTAAATTATAATCTTTTTTAAACATTAAATGTATAATTTAGCTTTTATATTTAAGTTACAATCTATGCCATGTATTCATTTTTATTTTTTTGTTTTTAGACAAAAAATTATTACATTTTGTATAAAGTTTCAAAGGATGCTAAAATGACAAATGATTACATTGCTGTAAAGAAAAACCATCCATTGAAATATTAACAACAGTTTAGGTTGATGTTTGTCAAAAATGATCAAATATTAAGTGTAAACATCTTAAGCTTCTGTTCAAGGATGAGAAGTTCATTTGAATGACAAATAAGTTTTATTGTTTATAATGTAAAAAAAAACTCTTTATGAACTTAATTTTATTGTTTTAGTTGAACACATTTCCAGGAAGATGAACATAGTAATGCAATCTTATTCTAGTAAATGGGAATCCAACACCGAATCTAAAAACGTCTAGTTCTAGGACTACATGCACATTTACATTTCTTATCATAAAAAGTTTCACTTAAAACACTGAAAATAATTTAATAAAAGAATATTGTTGAGTCAAATTAGGTCTTTTTCTTTAAACATCATACATTGATTGATTAAAGTTTGAAATATTTATAAAATCTTTATGCTGAGCATTTTTATTTGGCTCTAAGTAAATTACCTATTTAAATTTAATACATTTTAGCCTATTATATATTCATTAGAACTTATGTCATATGATGTAGGTATAAATTCTCATTTAATTTTTTTTGTATTGGTTTTTTCAAGCACATATTCTAAATTCTCATATTAGTTAATGAACTAAAACCTATTAATTATTTGTCCTTTAAGTTGTATAAATTGGTATATTGGAGTGGTCCCATTTTGTTGTAAATGATTAATGATTAAATTATTGGTGTAATTAGACTCTTATAGTAATATTTTATGTGTATTATAAATAATGCTTTTAATGTAAGGTTTTAAGACAAAGTATATTATTAGAGTAGAGCTATTAATTTTAACAATAATTATTATCAAGCTTACACATTTGAAAAAGCATAAACAGTGTACAATTAAAAACTTAAAATAAGTTTTTAGTTAACTAAGATCTGGATCTAAAATGGATTGATTTTTCAATAATTAAATAATTATACAACCATTTACATTAATTTTATAATAAATTGTTATAAAATTAAATGATAAACTGGTCTCATATTTTTCCTTAATGGCTATTGCTTAATTTTCAAAGTTAATTGTTATGGTTTTACTTGTTGATAAAAGTGTTATAACTAAACATTTTTAAATAACTTCAATGTTATATGTGAGCATTAAACATATTACCTCAAAATAATAAGTTATCAATAATAAATTGTAAAATTGTATTTTATCAATGTTTATTAAATAAATAGGAAGTAATTATTATTTTATATTATATTATATTCAGTTACTTATCAGTGCCTACCTGTGTCAAATCTTGTGTGCATGTCGTTTAGTGCAGCAGTTCTTAACCTTTCGTCTGCGGTCCTCTAGGGGTCTGCGATACTCATGTAGGGGGTCCGCAGCAGCTCTAACACATAACATACATCAATACATGACATGAGTGCATTATTATAATATTGTTGGATTAATATTATTATTATTTTTTTTCATATATTTTTTATTATATACCTAATAGATAGATTTTATCATTATGCAATGTTATGAAACTTGTGTCCAACCATTGTACGAAGCTATTAAAAATTAAATTTTAAGAATATTAAAAAAAGAAATTAAAACTAAAATAATTAAATTTAAGTCAATTGAAAAATTAAGTCAAATAAAAATAATTATAAATATGTATGTA